TCCAGAGGTTCAAGTCGGATTCAGAAGAGGCCGTGGAACAAGGGATATCATTGTTGATGGCCAATGTATCTTGGCTGAAAGCAGAGAATATCAAAAAGATGTTTCCCTGTGCTTTATTGACTACGCAAAGGCTTTCGATTGTGTGGAACATGACAAGCTATGAAGTAGGCGTATTCCTGAACACTTAACTGTGCTCATGAGGAATCTGTACCTGAACCAAGAGGCAGTTGTTCGAACAGAACATGGGAACACGGAATGTTTTAAAATTAAGAAAGGTGTGCGACAAGGTTGTATTCTTTCACTATACTTATTCAACCTGTATGCTGAGCAAATAATCCAAGAAGCTGGGTTATTTGAAGAAAAACGTGGCATCAGGATTGGAGAAAGACTCATTAACATCCTGCAATATGCAGATGATAAAACCTTGCTTGCTGAAAGTGAAGAGGACTTAAAATATTTACTAATGAAGATCAAAGAGCACAGCCTTTGGTATGGATTACATCTCAGTGTAAAGAAACAAAAATCCTCACCACTGGACCAATAAACAACATTCTTATCAATGGAGAAAAGAATGAAATTGTCAAGGACTTCATTCTTCTTGGATCAACTATCAACACTCATGGAAGCAGCAGTCAAGAAATCAAACGACGTATTGCATTAGGCAAATCTGCTGCACAAGACCTTCTTAAAGTGTTGAAGAGCAAAGATGTCAGCTTGAGGACTAAGGTACGCCTGACCCAAGCCATGGTATTTTCAATAACCTCATATGCATGTGAAAGCTGGACAGTGAATAAGGAAGACTGTAGAAGAATTGATGCTTTTGAGTTATGGTGTTGGAAGAGAATGTCAAAAGTGCCATGGGCTGCCAAAAGAACCAACAAATCTGTTTTGGATGAAGTGCAGCCAAAGTGCTCCTTGGAGGCCAAGATGGCCATACTTCGGACATATCATCAGGAGGGACCAGTTGCTGGAGAAGGATATCATGTTAGGTAAGGTGGAGGGTCAGAGAAAAAGAGGAAGACCCCCCAACGAGATGGATTGGCCAAGTGGCAGCATCGATGGACTCAAGTGTAGCAACAGTAGTGAGGTTGGCCCAGGATCTGGCAGTGTTTCGTTCTGTTGTGCATAAGGTCGGTATAATCGGTACCGACTCGATGGCACCTAACAACAAGAATAAGTCCTCTATCAGAGTATAAATGCCTCAGGGGAAAGAACTGTTTAATGAATGCTGTGGACAAGTTCTTGCCAGCACCCCAAGTTTTCTCCAGAGAACTATCAATTCGTGTGTTCCCAGCAGTGCTGACTCCCTCCCTAACTCTAGGGCTGGACGTGTGGTCCAGGTCTAGCCAATCACAGCATTCCCTTCTCCTAACTTTAGTGACTAGTTCAGGAATGGGCAGGTGACAATCCAGAACCCAAATGACAAGTAGGACAGAAAGAAGCAGGATAACATTAGTGAGCATTTCTCTCTAGGACTATGAGTCAAGGATGCTGCAAGTTTGCAGCTGCTGGAGGGCTGAAATTAAGCCAACACATTGGAAGCCAGAGACACAAGACTGGAGAGAGATCAATTCCTGGGGACAGGGTCTGAGCTCTTTGGTCAAGCAATGCCTGAAGTCACTATATCATTGGATTTCTGAGTTGTCAGCGCTTATAGGTTCCACTTCTTGTCTGAGGCAATTCGATTTGGGTTACCTGTTACTTGAATCCAAAAGGGCCAGGAGACACCAATGAACAGATGAATGAATCAACAATCAGAAAACTTGTGTGGTATAGTGGAAAGGATCCGGTTCTAGGAATGGTCATGGTAGTCTCTTGTCATTTGCTAACTATATACACTGGGCACATTGCCTTAACTCTTAGACTTGAACTTAGAACTCTGAAATCATTCATTTATTCACCGAACATTGAAACTGGCTTGTTGGTGGTAGTGTTGGCTGCCCTCAAATCAGCTGTCACTTCTAGTAGGCTTTTGTACAATGGCATGAAGCGTTGCCCGGCCCTACACCACCTGCGTGATCGTTGCTTTGTTAGAGCCCATTGTTGTCACTGTGATATGGTGCCTTCCAGCCTACGGGACTCATCTTCCAGAACTATATTGGACAGTGTTCTATTATGATCCATAAGGTTTTCACTGGCTGAATTTAGGAAGTAACTTACCAGGCTTTTCTTCCCAGTCTGTCTTCGTCTAGGAATTCCATTGAAACCTGTCTACACTAGGTCACCCTGCTGATATATGAAATACTGATGGTACAGCTTCCAGCATCATAGCAACACACACACCACTACAGTATGACACACTGACAAATGGCAGGTGGCACGCACTGTGCTTTATTGTTGTTAAGTGCTGTCAAATAGGTTCTGATTCATATCAACGCTGTATAGGGTTTCTGAGGAGTGGTTGGTGGGTTTGAACCACCGACCTTGCAGTTCAAATTGATTTTGTGATCCAGTGTGTATCCTACAGAGACACACCAGGACCCCATAAGCACTGTGCTAATTGTTTCTAATATGGTGGTTATGTGCCACCGAGTCGTTTCTGACTCATTGTTATGTGTCGTGGAGTTGGTTCCAACTCATAGTGACCCTGTGCAGGGTTTCTGAGTCTGTAAATCTTTGGAGGAGCAGAAAGCCTCATCTTTCTCCCACAGAGTGGCTGGTGGATTCAAATTGCTGACCTTGCGGTTAGCAACCCAGCTCGTAATCCACTATGCTGCCAGGACTCCTAATAGAGTGGCAATAAAATCCTCGGAGTTTCGGTCCTAATGAAAATGAAATTAAATTTAGTTCTAGGAAAAAAAAAAAAAACCACTTGATTTTGCCATGACGGCATCTGGTTGTGGTACAAGGCTTTAACACTTGATGCTAATTCTTACACTTTCAACTCCTTCTCAGTTAATATTGTAGGGCTAACTTTGTTGTTGTTGTTAAGGGCTGGCGAATTATTTCCAACTCATAGCAACCCTGTGCAGGGTATCAAAGGAGCGGCTGCTTAGACTGTACCACCAACCTTGTAGTCCAGAAGGGCAAAGAGACAGAACCTACAATGGTGGGGGAGGAGGGTACTAGAAATCATTTCCTCTCCCAGTGCTCAAAGTCAACTAGACATAATGTTTACCAACCTACCTACACATGATGCTAAACTAGACTTTATAACAAGAGCCTGGCTCTGGCCTTAGTCCAGCGCTCTGGGACCTTTAACTCTAAGAATAGCCAGCTTGCTACCAAGTACTTTTTTTTGCCTCTGGCAAAAACACTTTTCTAAGTTAAGTATGCTCATCAGTGTTCCCAAGAATCAGGCTTAGAAACAAAGTTATTTAAACTCAATTGGTTTCAGTTCTCATTCTGAGGAGCTAATAATGCCAGCTGCAACTGGATTTTCCCCTTTTGAGGGGATTCTCAGCTTGGGCTGATGTGGCAGGATGTCAGAAATAAACCCAACCAGAGTGTAAATTAACAGGCCCCAAATAACGAGAGTCTTAACCCACCTTCTCTTGTGTGATTTAGCCGTTCATTGAACACGTATTTATCTCATGCTCGCTCCGCACCAGGCACCACACAGACATGGACCGGACCATCAAGGGGCAGAAACTGGCACAGAAAGGGGCAGCACCCAAAGGGGACAGACCCAGAGGCAAACACTCAAACACAAGCACACCCCTGTGTGTCAGGGGATCACACCTGATTAAGCCTGTTGTTAAACGCCGTTTTGGTTCAGACTCCTAGTGATCCTGTAGAGGGTTTCAGAGCTGCTGCTGGTAGATATTAAGTACCACCCTTGAAGGTAGCAGTCCAGTGCTTATCCTACAGCACCACACCAGGACCGCACCCCTCTCCAATACACACACACACATAAAGATTGTTATTAGGTGCCCTAGAGCCAACTCATAGCAACCCCGCTTTACCAAGCACAAAGTCCTTCTCCAAGGACTGGTCCCACCTGATATCATGTCCAAAGTATGAGAAATGTAAATAAACATTGCTGTTAAGCGCTGTTGAGTTGGTTCCGACTCATAGTGACCTTGTATAGGGTTTCTGAGGAGCAACTGGTGTGTTTGCAGTCCAGTGCCCAGGAAATCTTGTGGGGGAAGTTCTACTCTGTTATATAAAGTCAGCATTGAGCCACAGCACACAACAGTACGGCCGTATGAGCTATAGAGCCGGAGACCTGGAGACACACTGCCTGGGTACATCGTAGTCATATCACTAACGAGCTGTGACTTTGGGAACGAGCTCTGGTAGCACAGTGGTTACCAATCGGGCTGCGAACTGCAAGGTCAGCAGTTCAAATCTACCAGCTCTGTTCCGCGGGAGAAAGAAGAGGCTTTCTGCTCCCGTAAAGATTTACAGCCTCGGGAACCCTGTACAGGGTCGCTATGGGTCGGGACCGACTCCACGGCACTTAACAACAACAACAAGGTGAGTACGGCCAGCGTTAAGATGCAACCAATCACATTACAAGCATGTTGTGTATGCTGGTGTGGCGCTCTGGGATAAGCGACGGACCGCAAATCTGTTTGAACAGCGAGAGCGGAGGTTCCAACTCCCCAGCCGCTCCTTGGAAATTCTAGACAGGGTCACTACGAGTCTGAACCGACTCCATGGCATTAACAACACCAGAAATGCAAGGAAGTGTAACGTCATAAGTAGTTTTTAGTGTAGATTAAATACACACACACACAGCTACTATTTGTCAGCTTGCAATCGATGGCAATGAACATGAAATAAAGATGGTAGCACTCTTCCACTGTCTTTGCCGCCATTCCTGATAAGCCACGTCCTCCACTATACACAGTACAGCCGAAAGACCGCGGTTCTTCGCCTGAGGCTCCAGCATCCGTCCTTTTCCCCGCCCCTTTACCACTGGCTCCTGAAAATGACGTCAGAAGTGGGCGCCGACGCTGCAGCCAGCAACCTCGCGCCTGCGCTCTACCCAAGACGGAAGCTCCGCGCATGTGACGGCCGGGCTTCTCCTGAGATTCTTATTCTAGTTCTACTGTGCCTGGGGTCTTTGGGGTGAGGCCTTCTTGAGCCGAGGACCATGAACCGTAGCCGCCAGGTGACGTGCGTGTCCTGGGTCCGCTGCGGCGTGGCCAAAGAGACGCCAGACAAGGTAAGGCCCTATCGCTCGGAGATGAGGGCAAGTTGCGGCTTCCCTAATCAGCCTCGCCTGGGGAACCGGACTCATAGCACTCGATACCCGCTTGTGGTGCTGACCTGGGAGAGGAGGGATTGTAGCTGGGGCTGTGGCTCCGAGGGTCTGGGAAGTCGGGGCCTCGCAGTTGCACTGTTAGAAATGAATCCTGATGTTGAATAAGACACTCGATGAGACTTAATTACCTTGGCTAAGCAAAATTTACTCCTGCAAGAGGGTGCGTGCGCATAGCCGTACATATACGAACAGGTCAGCGAGTACACTGAGTGGGCAGTCCACTCGGGCTTTTAATCCCTGACGTGAGTCTCAAGGCTGTGTCTCACCCCACTGGCTAGGGTTTTGACCCCACAATCTTTTCCCTTACCCGGTTGGCTAGTTCAAGATTTTAAGGCGCTCATTCCTACTTTAGGAAAAGAAAAAGAAAAATCATACAGTCTTCAGGAAATTAAAAAAAAAAGGTTACCCGAATACAATAAACAGGATTATAATAAATATATTTTTCTTCAAGTTTTGCAAGATGTTGACTTTGGTGTTCGTATGTTTCTAGGTGGAAAAGGTTATTTTGGTATGGGGTGGGGGTTGTTTGGATAGGGCTGTTTCTATGAGTTTTAGAACTAATTCTCTCATACAGGGTATAATACAGCATCCCATTAGTGTTATAGGATAATTAGAGAGGACTGAAGTCATAAGCCCTTTCCATTTCCCGAGTCATTGTTCCTTGATATTAGAAAAGGGGTCATCTATGCCTGAATTTTCAGCGAGTTCATTAGCTAAGATGGTCAGCCCTTGTAATGTTTCGGTATGGTACCATCAGGAGCTGCGTTATTGGGTATGAAAGTACAACATTGGACTTCGATCATACACATACTTCTTTTTCTGCTAATATCATATCTAGGGCTAACTTGTTTTCCGAGGCCATTTTGCTAGTAGGTCCTAATTGTTCTGTTCGTTTTATAACACCCCTGGTATGATTTACAAATCTTTGTTAATTATATTGTTGTTGTTGTTAAGTGCCATCGAGTCGGGTCCGACCCATAGCGACCCTGTACAGGGTTTCCGAGGGTGTAAATCTTTACGGGAGTAGAAAGCCTCATCTTTCTCCCGCGGAGCGGCTGGTAGTTTCGAACCGCTGGCCCTAAGGTTCGCAGCCCGATTCGTAACCACTACGCTACCAGAGCTCCTTTTGTTAATTATATTAGATGTAGTTAATCCAGTCCACATTTTTGTTAATGGTTGACCACCAGACTAATACAGATTCAAACCCTGCAGCTATTTTGTTTCTTGTTTTGAATTTGTTTGGCACCCCTTGGGGGACTCCTATACTGCCTGTGTAAACATGGGAATTGAAAGAGCCATGGGGAGCAACTACACTTCTCTTGGCTTTATTTCTGTTTCCTGTAGTTGTTGGTTGATGGAATGCCAGGGTGAAGGGATGGCCAATTGCACCAAAGCACAAGTGCCCCTCCAATTTGCCAGTAAAGCCTGAATAATTGTTTCCCATAATACCACCAGACATCTGCTCGTGGAATAGCATGGGCTGACTGATTTAGGAGCTCTTTAAAGACTTTGTGCTCACTGTATCGGGTCAGGTTTCTAATGAACATCAAAGTCCCCCATGTCTGGAGAGACATGAAGTGAAATTGACATTTGAGGCTGGAGGCCTGATGGTCCTCGGGCGCTGACCCGTAAGACCCCTGACATTAGGGAACAGTTGTGACAATGAGTTACAGGATTCGTTGCCCTAGGATATAGGGTCTTGGAAGAGAGCAACCATACAGTGCATATCCTGAGGGTCTGAGGACCATCTGAGTGAAAAGGGAATCACTTGAGCTTCCGGTCTTCCTGTTGCACAGGCGTAACAATCTCTCTTATTTAGAGTGCAAACAGAATATTTATTCCGTTCCAACCAAGCATTCGCATCCCCATATCCTGTTTCTATAGTTAGAGTTTGTCTTAGGTCTTTAACTTACATAATTGTCATTTTGGAAGGGTAATTTCCTGAACTTAAGGGGGGTACCAGATCTGAATCATTTCTAGGATTCTGTGTTTGAGTTCTATCCTTGGTAAAGGAAGGGCTTGAGTTTTGTCTAATTAGTTTTAGAGAGGAGGCTCCTATAGGATTCTTTCCTGTAACATTGGCTCCCAATCCATAGTTTCCTATTATTGAAGGTTCTCTAGTCATGGTTTTGGGATTATCTATAATTAAGAGTAATGGATTGATTGCATTGTTAGGATTTGCAGTGGAGGCTGGGGTGGACCCTTGTACGAGCTAGAAGCCCATACCGATATTGGGTCGTTCACTGAACATCATTCCAGTTATTACAGGGACCCCTCAAGGTACTATATTTATGTTTGTTTCTCACTGTTCTAAAGGGGCAAAGACATCAACACTGGACAGTTGTCTCTGAGACTTCTCTTATTTGCATGGGATAACAGAACAGGGAGAGATGCCATAGTTGAATCTACTATTAACTTGACTGGCTGATCATAGGCAAAATCCCTTTGCATCTCCCTCATTGCAATGGTACATTTTACCCATATTAGCTTATAAACCCAAACCATCTTGTCAGGGACACGTTAGAACCCTTGGGCCCTAGACCCCTTTTATTCTGGCTTTGTATTTACCACTGTACCTTGAGTTTTCTCCCACTATAAACAGGGATCAAGGAATTGGGTAAGACATTTCTAGTCCAACAAGAATAGTAATACTGAGAAGACTAGCCTCGAGACAAGGCTAAGGATATCAAGACCTGAAACTAACTGAAGCAGCTGGCCACAGGCAGAAGAAACAAGAAGATAATGCCTAGAGCTGACAACTGCAGAAGGAACTCCATTTTCAATAAGTCTGCGTCCCTGGATGAATTTTCGGCGTATCATTTCTCTTAACGTTTTAGCCCATTCTTAGAGGAAGAGAACCCATACCTTTATAAGCTCCATTGCACCCCCATTTTACCAGGTCTGAGAAGCAGCGACTCAGTGGGACTTGTTCTTTAGACCCCCGAGAGTGAGAGGGACCGGGGAAAAGCGTGACAAACTGGCAGAGGTGTGTGGTAAGGCAGCGTCTCAGCTTCTTGCCAGGGTCACTTTGAGAGGTTCCCTAGGTGAGGAATGTATTTCCCACCAGTAACTACATTTCCCTTGGGGAGAGTCCCTTTTTACCAGTTCCTTTATTTGAGTAGTTAGTCCACTCCTCCGTGGTTGGCTGTCTCAATGGTTAGCTGTACCTGGGAAGGGCCCTCACAGTCCAGCTGAAGTCCGTTCCCCTTACAGGTCTCAATCAGCATCAAGTCTCATGGTCAGAAGTGATGAACAGTGAATTTGAAGGGATGGGTTTGGACCAAAATTTATTTTAATGTCTACAGCATAATATAGTTTTCCTCCTCTTAAAAAGATGAGATGCATACATACAGGGTGGCCCACATTTTAACAACAACAACAAAACTGTTTTCAATTTAGAAAGAATATTGGTACACCAAATATCTCTTTTTTTTTTTTTTTTCCTAAATATCTTTTAAAACAGTATTTGTTCTCAGAGGATCTGAAACATTAATACAAAAATAAAATACATACAAAGTCTTAAGCAATATATAATTAAAAAAAAAATGCTATCACAACAACCAAATCCTTAACTATCCTTTAAATGTATTAATTTATACAATTTTACTGTAGAAAGAAAAAGATATTGAAACAGAACAAAACAACTTCTCAATGCCTGATTCACATTAAAGTTTCACCTTGTTTGGGTAAACAACTGCATAAGTTGCATTGTAAGCTCAAACAGCCTATGTCTACATTTATCTTAAGAGTTCTATTTGAAAAACTACCGTATTGGCTGTAGACCGTTTCTCCCGTCTATGGGGATAAGGTATTGTCTTCTACGGACCACCTCCTCCCCTACGCCACCCCCCTTTTAAGAAAATTTTTTTCCCCTTTTGGGCATTCCCTCTTAAAATGTCCTACTTTTCCACATTTAAAGTATCTGTTTTCTCCTCTGGCTGCTTTTGGGTTCCCCTCCCTTCCTGTTTTGTCCTGACTCTGGGAGTTGGGATCCCAAGGAGCATTGGCTAATTATCCTTCCTTAGTTGCCTGCTGGAAAGAGGTGGTGGTAGTGGTGGTGTGGAGTCGATTCTGACTCATAGTGACCCTATATATGGTTTCTAAGGCTGTGAACCATTACAAGAGCAAAAAGCCTCATCTTTTTCCTGTGGAACTGCTGGTAGTTTTGAACTGCTGACCTTGAGGCTTGTAGCCTGATTTGTAACCATTTTGCTACTAGAGCTCATTGCCTTAAGGTTGGCAACACAGGACTTTCTGTTTTTCTTTATCCCGTTTTATATATACCTTTTCAATTTCCTTTAATAGTTCTTCCATAGACCTGTTTTTACAGTTTTCTGTTCTTTTTGTGTCCTTTTACAGATATCAGGCCAAGTGTTAGTGACAAAATAGCTTTAACACTCCCTGGCCCAAAGGATCTTTTGGGTCTAACCTGGTATATTTTCTCATTTGCCTTCTTTTTTTTTTTTGGTCTCCTAAACCAATTAGGGGTACACTGACAATGCCAATTTCTCCTCTTCCAAAGGGACTTTTCCAAGAGAAGAGTTCAGAGTTGTGAGTCGGGGATATAGGAGGAAGGGCAGGATTGTGGGCAGTCCACTCGGGCTTTTAATCCCTGACGCAAGTCTCAAGGCTATGTCTCACCCCACTGGTTAGGGTTTGGACCGCACCATCTTTTCCCTTACCTGGTTGGCTGGTTCAAATGTATATCTATATATTCCCCCCCCACACACAGCACCAGGGCGCCCCCTAGTCTCACCCCCGATCCACACACGTGGACCACACAGACTGGGACAGGTTGAGCTTTAGGCGGGAACTCCCCCAAATGCCACAGCGTCTCCATTCCCGCGTATCCCAGTGCATTTTCCGAATCAAAGGGCTGGAGGGGGGGTGGGGAGGTGCCTGTCTGTGAGGACTCATGTTCCTCTCTCAACACTGGGTGTAGCGTAGAATGTCTAGTGTGGATGTGAGTCCAATGCTTGCGTCCGGTGCCTGGAGTGATTGAATACAATTAGCGAACACTCCACATACACAGAGAAAACTCTTTATTATTATAAGGGAAGGAACCCATGGTGGAAATTTAAAAGATGAGAAAGGTGGGGATAGAACGAGCATGGAGAAGGGGTGGGGATCATAATTGGGAGAACCTGTGAACTTGCTGACCTTAAAATTTGAGTCTCATGTTTGCTGTTTTGTGCCATGAATTTATATTTGACATTGCAAACTTATTTTATTCAAAGACATCATCATGGTTAAGAATCAGGCTGCTAACCTCAAGGTCAGCAGATCAAAACCACCAGCCATTCCGTGGGAGAAAGATGAGGCTTTCTGCTCCCATAAAGATTTACAGCCTTGGAAACCTTATGCAGGGTCGCTATGAGTCAGAACTGACTCCACGGCACATAACCACCACCATGGGGCAGAACCGAGTCCACAGCACTTAACAACAACAACCATGATCTTAAACACACTGAAACCTGTGAGAACTGGAAGCCCGTGGGCCACCTTGTTTTTCTGCATTTCAGGAGTTGTTTGCCTTTGACAGGGTGTAGTTTTACCACTTTCCACTTAGTGGGAAATATTTGAGTTTTCCTCCGCCAAGTGCTAACTTGCACAGCCGTTTACTGTATATTGCAGTCTCAGGAAGTCTGTGATTTCTTACAGGTAGAACTGAGTAAAGAAGAAGTGAAACGCCTCATCAGTGAAGCACAGGAAAAATTGCAGTAAGTCTGGGGATACTAACTCTTAGCACAGTTCCACAGCACACATTTGTGTGTCTTAAGTAATGAAGGCAAGGTGGTCTTGTTCTTGAGCAGCACCACTGGGTACTTGGTGTTCCCACAGAGAACAAGTCAGCAGTGATGAGGAGGAAGCCGGTGACCTGTCAGAAGGGGGCATGCAGAGTGCTCGCACCCAGGCACGACCCAGGGAGGCCCTGGAGGATGGCGACCCAGAGGACGACAGGACACTGGAAGACAATGAGCTGGCCGAGTACGACTTAGACAAATACGATGAGGACACAGACCCAGGTCAGAGTTTGTTTCTTTCCACTGGTTTGCATCACATACTCAGTGCTGGTGGTCCCAGTGCTGGGCTGGGAGAGTCTGTCGTCCCTGATCTCAGTCACACAGCCTAGTTCAGAAAATCCACGCAAATAAACACGAACCAAAGATTTCTTTTAAATGAGTATTGTATAGATATTCTGTTGCATGTGTAATCAGCTTTAACTCATTTGTATGTAGTTACAGTGTCCTTATTTCATTCCTTTTCCTCAACCACAGTGGTTTTTATTTTGGAATTCTGGGTACATGTTGAGACATGGTGCTGGAGGTCATAGGCAAGAGAAAAGGGAGATGAAGAAGGAGGCAGATTAGGAGCAGAAGTTAGTGCGGAACGCCTTGGGGGAGACAAAGTGAGCAGGGAACAGAAAGTGCTCTTTGAGGAAAAGGAAGTGAGCCTATGTCAGAGGCGAGTAGAGTGGGACAGGCCCCCTTTGCTGTCTCTGGTATGAGTGACGTGCACCACAAATGTTGGGATCTGGGAAGTAGGCAGTCGTTTTGGCATATTCAGCAGGCTAAATAAAGTTGATTCTCATTACTCCACCTCTCCTAAGACCTGGTGGGCTCTGAAAGTTAGAGTCCAAGTTACAAAACCAGGAAAACAGGATTTAACATCAGCAGACTCTTAAGCCATATGTATGGGCAGCAAAGCAAAATGGCAGCTGTCTCCTGAGTGTGCTGGAAGGCGTGCCTGAAGGAGTTCTAGTGAGCATTGATGGCAACAGCAGGCTGCTATTCATGATCTAACGTAGAATATGTCACGTGCAAGTGGAGTCCTGGTGTGGTGGCACTGGGGGTAAATGTGCTGGACTACAAAGTCAGTTTAAACCATGGGGTCGGTTCAAGCTCACTGGCTGCTCCTTGGAAACCCTATATGGGTCACTGTGGGTCAGAACCAACTCGATGGCATTTAACAACAACAAAGTGTAAATGATGATGCTGTGTTTACTCGTTGTTAAGTGCTGTGGAGTCGGTTCTGGCTCACAGCTACCCTGTATAGAGTTTCTGAGGAGCAGCTGGTGGGTCCTTTATTTGGGTAGTTTGTACTTTAAGTCTGATCACTAGGAGAGTGGGGAAGAAGAGTGATACTGTGTGCAGAGGTTTATGTAAGCGAGGCCTCTACTTAATGCTGTTCACCTAAGAGCCCAGATGTACGGGAGAAATCTGTGACCCAGTTTAAAACCTACTGATTTCATTAACTATCTGTTATGCTAGATTTTATTGGGTAGATACAGTTGAAAACTGTGTGTAAGAAAGTCTAATAACTGTATTTTTTGTTGTGTTATTGAGAATACCACCTCAGGGCAGTAGTTTCAGAGGTTTTCAATTGCAGTTTTTGTCAGGCACCCTTAAAACATCCTTGTCTACATACTTAGGTGTTTATGAGTAAAATGACATGCTGTCTACGACTTGCTTTTGAAGAACCCAAAGGTGGGGCGGAGGGGAGGAAAACACCAAGATTGAGATCATGTGTCACCAGTCCAGGCTAGGCAATGGGAGGTTTGCTGTATCCTGTCTTTGTGCATATTGAAATTTCCTTAATGATGGTAAGCACTATGGGGTGTCGAGGCAGTGTTTCGGAATAGGTATAGGTCAGAGGTCAGATATGGCCTATGGTGACCATGAGAAGATCATTAAGTAATGGATAGGAAGGGAGACAGGAGGAAGTAGGTTCTGAGAGGAAGTGAAACATATTGAATAAAAGAGGTCAAGGTGGAAATTCACCACCTTGGCCAGGAGACCTCAAGTGGAGCATGTTTGAACACCGCCAGTAACACTGGGAAGAAAGTACCAAACCAGGTACGATGTCATTTTAGTAGGAAGGAGCAAGACTATAGAAAGCTGTCAGTGCCACAGTGATGCTGAGCTTGACCTAATGAGTATGATGGGCCCAAGAAACAGCTTGAATAAAGACCTAAAGTGGGGGGAAATGCCTGGCAAGTTGATCTGCGTGAACCAAGTATCCAGAAGATGAGTGGGAAGTTGGAGAAACATCTGGAATGTCTTCTTGGAGCCCAGCTTTGAATGCCAGACTTAGTAATCTGTTTCCTGTGCAGGAGACAACCTTTAGAGGTTTTACGCATGGTACACATGATAACTGCATGTGAACTTCAGAGCATGAACTCTGGCCGCAAGCAGAATGGCTTGGGAAATTGGGTGGGTTTCTCCGTGGAAGAAGAGTCTTTCTGTAAGTCAGGCCAGACACAATGAAGACCTGGATTAGGGCTCCAGGAGTGGGGAGGAGGAGGCAGAGAAAGCTGAATGTTGGGTATCATCTTCATGAAACGAATCTTTCTTTTAGAACCAGTACCCCGGGTTTCCCACTGTATCACTGGTGTCCCTGTATCTCCTTCTCATTTGTCAGTTACCCACTTTTCTATCTAGTTGTTCATATCTCCTCATTCCTTATCCTTCTGGCCATCATCCTGTGCACTCTTGGCAAACTCACCCGTCTGGATCCGCAGTCCTGAGAGAGGAGTGATTACCTCCACTTTACAGGAGAGCAAACAAGCTCCGAAAGACTAGCTTACTTTGCCAGAGTCACATAGCTGGTGAATGTTGGGGCTGCAGTAAAGCAAGAATTATATCGTCACCTAAGCTTAGGGGGAAAGGAGGAAGTTTAGCATCATAAGGTGCACTAGCATACCAGCAGTCGAGAGCTGTAAGAATCTTACAATAAAGAAACCTGTTTATGAAGCTCTTGGTTTCTCAGTTTTATCTGTCTGTGGTGTGGGGTTCTTTCATTTCAGGTGCTCAAGGCCACCTCTCTCTCTCTCTCTTTTAAACAGTGTTGAAAAGAGCAAGCTTAGAAATGAGAACAGAATTCAAATGTTTTCTGAAAGGTGATTTTGCAGTTTATGTTTTATGAGTTTATGTTTTTCTTAGAAGAGTGTAAGTTGCCGATTCCAGGAGTGGCAGCTGTGCACCCCTGCTTGCTTTCATCCACTGTCTCCTTTCCTGACGTGGGCTAGTTTGAGAGTACATGGTTGAATCTCAGTCTAAAGTTGAAATGTCTTTGAAAAAATTCTTTTGTCCAAATGACTTATTTTAGTTTATGAATTCTTATAGATGCTGAGACTCTGGGTGAATCTCTTCTGGGTCTGACAGTCTATGGGAGTAATGACCAGGATCCCTATGTGACTCTGAAAGACACGGTAAATATTGACACACTTTTCCAGCTGTACTCACAGGTGTTTGGAAACTCGGACAATTCCTCCAAAAGTTAAAGACTACCATGTGACCCAGCAATTCCATTCTTAGGTACACACCCAAAAGACTTAAAAGCGGGGATTCAAATAGAAATACCCATGTTCATTGTAGCATTGTGCACAAAAGCCAAAAAGTGGGAACAAATAGAAATACCCGTGTTCATTGTAGCATTATGCACAAAAGCCAAAAAGTGGGAACAAACCAAGTATCCACCTGGGAAAGTTCAAAGTATCGTTATTAGGGTTCCAGTTCACACGTGCATAGGTTCATTCCATGCTAAACAAGTTTAAACATGTTTCTGCCATCAGTGGGTGACTGCAGACAAGTTCTCCCAGTCATACACTTCCCTGGGTCCCATTGCTGTGGTTATGAAGTGCCTTTGAGTCGGTTCCCACTCATGGTGACCCTCTATAGGGTTACCAAGGAGCAGCTGGTGCATTTGAACCACTGACCTTGTAGTTCAAATCAACCTTGTGGTCCAGTGCATTATCCTACAGCACCACAGGTCCAGTCAAAATAGTGGTTTTCAAGGGGATTTGCTGGGATGGTTAAATTCAAGGCAGAGAGATCTGCTGAGTTTTGGAATTCCAAAGAGGTAGTCTTGATAAATTTTCTCAAAGGGCACAGGATGATCATGGGGTTTATTGGTAAGAAGCTTTCAGAGAACTGAGGAAAAGGAAAGCTGCTCCGAAGAATTGAGACCCCCTCAAAGATGCCAAAAGTTTTGACCTGGTATAAATCAAAGAGCTCAGAAGTCTTCAGGAAAGGGTTAGATGGAAACACTGTCTTCAGAAGTGTACAGTTGTAGGTGAACGACATGCCAAGAAACAGTAACTTCACATGGTGGTATTTTTGTTTATAAAGGTTTCTATGATTTTATAGCAACACTTTTGACTTATCCTTGTTTGTATATGTACAGTGGAATATTAATCCACAATATTAATATTAATACAGATAAATGACGTTATGGCACATGTTGCAACCTGGGTGACTCTTGAAAACTTTAAGCTAAACGAAATAGTCTGACAGGAAAGAACCAATATAGTCTGATCCCATGTGTGAAATATCTATGCGAGGTGAATACTTAGAGACAGAAAGTTATCAGTGGTTAACGAGATGTCTGCTTCTGGCCACGGGCTTTTTTTCTTCCACTTAGGAGCAATATGAACGTGAAGATTTCTTGATTAAGCCCAGCGATAATCTCATCGTTTGTGGTAGAGCTGAACAGGACCAGTGCAATTTGGAAGTCCATGGTGAGTGAGATCTGTGGTCTCGCCTGTGTGTGTCAGTGACCCTACGATAGTAACCAGCAGGGAACTGGGCTGAGCTCCCAGCCTGGGGAGCAGGAGTCTCCTGTGGAATCTCTCCTACAGAGCATAGAGATTTTTCTGCTTAATGTGACAGGGTATGTGGTCTCATGTGTCACTTTGGTACCTGACTTTTTTGCTGGAAACAAGTAGCCTTCTTCCATTTTCAGATTTGAATAGGCAGCCTTTTGGTGAACAGCCAGGCACTTAACCTTTGGTGTCACCAGGACTTCATAGGAGTTGTTAGTCTTTTATTTAAACATTTTACTCCCAGTCTTTGTTTGGATGTTATGTAGTTTTAAGATTATACCAGACAGACAAATTTTCATTCTGCTTCTTTTCCACAAAGTTGTTGCCAATATTTTCCCCTTGATAATATTGTGTGTTCATCATAGTCATTCAATATAGAAGTCCCACGTTGCTCCTTTGGGCAAAAACTCCAGGACCTTTTTCGAACCCTTACTGCAAGTGATAGCACAGAAGCCAGATGTGAGGGCTTGGCAATGATCTGAAGTCAGCACTGCTATGCATTGTTAAATCAAACATTTAGTTATCCTATGTCGTTAAGTACCATGTTGTTGGTTCCAACTCACAGTGACCCTGTACAGGGTTTCCGAGGATGTAGTTGTTGTATAAAATCTGTTATTTTTTGCATACTAAAAATACCCTTCAGGATGTCTAGAATTCTCTACCTGCAAATTCTCTCTCATCTTTGTGCTGCCCCTGCTCTGTGCAGGTGTCTGCAAACCAGTCCATCTGCCCAGGCACTTTCTTCCCAGGTGTTTTCTGCTCACCCATCTTAAAACATTGACGTTTAAAGAGACTATTCAATTGCTAAGGCCTTTGTCGTGGGAACAGTTTCACAGTTTGGAAATGAAGGCCTTTTTGTTTTATGTTGATTGGCATCTTCAGAAAGGCCTTCAGAAAGGTCATTAGTTTGCATTTCTGGAACGTCAGAATCTAGTAAGGCTGCCTGTGAAAACCTACACATTAGGCCATTTTTAGCCCCTGGCCTACAGTGGCCTGTTTATGAAAATTATCTCAGGAAGACTTCTAAATAGCAGTTAATTTAATGTGAAGTTATTTTCTCTAGCTTTTGATAGTTCAGACTTTTTTATATTGCAAATGAAAACCATGTTGGTAATTTTTTTTTTAAAGGTTAATTCTAATTTCAGAACCCTAACACTGTCAGTGTGTTTGTCATCGATAATTTTTTTTTAACATTGTCATCTGAGGGCTCACAGTCGTTCCTTTGAGCCCACTGAGAACCCTACAGAAGGAGTTCAGAAAGAAATTAAAGCGATTATATTTCTGTATCCTTCTCAGCTAGGCTAGCCTGTTGTTTTAAAACGTTGAGTCACTTGTCAGTCACAGCATCCCTGTGCGCGATGGAAGGACACACTGCCCTGCGTATGCATTGCTTGCAGTAGTGGCTGTGTATGGGTTCGTTGTTGGAGGTTATCATTGATAGGCTTTGTTGTTGAGATTTGGACAGGATCTGCAAATTGTCCTGCTAATCTGTTTTCAAGAGTAATTTCAGAATTACACCTTAAAGTTGATCTGACATGTGTAACAGATAATTATGTTTTAAATTATCATCACCATTTTTATGTAGCGTGGCTGTTGTTTTTGTTAAGTGCCATTGAGTCAGTTCCAACTCATAGTGACCCTGTATAGGGTTTCCAAGGAGCAGATGGTGAGTTTGAACAACCGACTTTGCAGTTGAAACCGACTGTGGTCGAGTGCTGATCCTATGGCGCCGCAGCCACGTAACATGGTAGCTGAGTACATAGAACATGATTGAGTCATTACTACCATCATTCTGAGTGTGCTCTCTCATGTAATCTGATTGGTTACACAGAATCTGCTGATCCTACATCTCTCCCTGAAGCAGAGATCTGAGAAATTTCCAGAACCAAAATCTTTGTTTCCTTGTTGACTTCTTTCTTAATAAGTCATACAGGAAGGAGGACCCCAGTTATTTGGGCTCTATCAATTTTACTGTATACGTTTCTGAAAGACTTTTGAGCTACCTCATTTTAACCCCAGTTGTGCTCCTTAAGGGGTCCTGATGCTCCTTGATTTTATAAATGTTAGTGACATGAGCTGATTCATATTAGTTGTCATATTCCAATAGGGTTTCTTCCTTAACCTTGTTTATAATGTTGATCTTTATAAAGTTTTTGAAAAATATACATTAAAGAAGAGTATTGCTGACAAGTATTTTGATTTCTAGATAGGAATTATTTTTCACCTGTACCGTTTATTTCTTGATCTTGACTTAAGAACTTAGAGAGTAAAGTAATGCTAAAATACTCCTGAGAGTTTGTTCTGTGTGATGTGTGAGCCACAAGACAGGTGCATATTCACCTGGTGAACATGTGAAAGGACTATTCAGGCAGTGTCAGTTCTCTGCCAGTGTTCATGGTTCCCTTGGGGGGACTTCAAAAAGTTGGTTGAAAATGGCATTTTCCACATACTTCTCTATGCAGTTTTGCTTAGCAACAAAGGGTGTGTCATTGTAATGTCATCAAATTGTTCACTGTACACATTATGCCTCCCATTGTTCAACAGGGAGAGTCTGTTCTTTGGAGTCTGATTCGGAATGACTTAGTCAAATGCAAGAATGTCTCTTTTTCTAATCTTTTCAGTTTATAATCAAGAAGAAGACTCTTTTTATGTACACCACGATATACTCCTGTCTGCCTATCCTCTGAGCGTGGAGTGGCTGAATTTTGATCCTAGCCCAGATGATTCTACAGGTAATTGAAGAATTTAAGATAGTGTCTTCCAAGTCACATGAGCTGTCTGTTCTGTATGAATGTTTTCAGTGTGTTGTTGCTAATAGTTTATGAAGTTACAGTTATGTAACTCTTAAACATTCACTTCATGGTTTGGGGCCTGTGTCTGCCCAGTGTTTGAATAGGTTAAGCGGGGAGGTGCTGCAAATAAACAAGCCTAGAGCCTGATAGCGTGCTGGCTAAAGGCCCGGGAAAACACAGACATCATGTGTCTGACATTACAAGCTACAGCTTAGTGGCCTCGCACTTCTCAAAACATGAAGTAAAAATGAAACTGAAGAGGCTTGTCACATAATAGCCTTCCTTATATTCTATAAATACAATTATATTTTCATTAGTCTCCTTCATCGTATCTGCACACTGTTTGCTGTCCCCCTCCCTGAGTACTTCTTCCCAGTAAGGGTAAACACTGTTGATACTAACATTTACATCTTACTAGCAAAGCACATTCACATGTATGTATCTCATTTGAGCCTCATCTTCACAGCAGCCATCCAAGGAAGAAAAGATAAATTTTTGTCTCCCGATAGAATTGAGAAAGGGAAGAACACACTCAGCATTTGTCAAGCTGAAAAAACTGGAAAAAAAATTCAAGCCTCAACTTTGAATATTGAATGTGCAAAATACTAAATGACGCAGAAAACATCAAAAGGAATACACAAAGTGACTGTACAAAATAAATGGACGATGTTCAACCATTTCTAGAAGGAATATATGATCAAGAACCAATGGTAATGAAGGAAGAAATCTTAGGTACACTGAAGGCATTGGCAACAAACAAGGCTCCAGGAATTGATGGAATACCAATTAAACTATTTCAATATGACAAGAGATTGGGAAGACAGCTACCTGACCAACTATGCTTGGATGAGATCCATATTTGTGCCCATTCCAAACAGAGGTGACCCAATGGAATGTGGAAATCTTACAATAATATCACATGATTTTGCTACGGATAACTGAAAGACAACTGCAGCAGTACATCCACAGGGAACTGCCAGACGTTCAAGCCAGATTCAGAAGAGCACATGAAACGGGGCATAATCATTGCTAACATCAGATGGATCTTGGCTGAAAGCAGAAGATACCAGAAAAATGTTTACTTGTGCTTTATTGACTATGCAGAGGCGTTTGACTTTGTAGATCATGGCAAGCTATGGACAATATTGTGGAAAATGAGTATTTCAGAACACTTGATTATACTCATGAAGACCTTGTACATAGACCAAGTGGCAGTCATTCAAACAGAACAAGGGGACACTGGTTTACAATTAGGAAAAGTGTGCTCCAGCATTGTATCCTTTCACAATACTTGTCTGCATGCTGAGCACATAATCTGAGAAGTTGGATTATATGAATAAGATCATGACATCGGGATTGGAGGAAGACTCATTAACAACCTGTGATCTGTAGATGGTATGACCTTGCTTGCTGAAGTCAAGAGGACTTAAAATACTGATGAAGTTCAAAGACCACAACCTTTAGTATGGGTTGAAACTCAGTGAAAAGAAAACAAAAATTCTCACAACTGGACCAATAAATAGCATTATGATAATGGGAAAAGATTGAAGTTGTCAAAGACTTCATGTTGCTTGGCCCCGCCATCAACATTCATGGAAGCAGAAGTCAGGAATTCAAACAGTGTATTGCATTAGGCAGATCTGCTGCATAAGACCTCTTTTAAGTGTTTAATAGTAAAGATGTCAGTTTGAGGACTAAGGTGTGCCTGAGCAAAACCATAGTGTTTTCAGTAGTTTCATGTGCATGTGAAAGTTGGACAGTGAATAAGGAAGACTCTGAAATATTAATGCATTTGAGTTACAGTGTTGGAGAAGAATATTAAAAGTATTATGGACTACCAGAAGAACAAACAAATCTGTGTTGGAAGTCTGGCCTTAATGGCTAGACTTCATCTGTCATACCTCAGACATTATCAGGAGACCCAGTCCCTGAAGAAGAACATCATGCTTGGTAAAGTGAAGGGTCATCGAAAAAGAGGAAGACCCTCAGTAGGATGGATTTGCACCAGGTCAGCAGTGGATGGGATCAAGCTTAACAACGATTATGAGATTGGCTCAGGACCAGGCAGTGCTTTGTTCTGTTGTGCACTGGGTTGGTATGAGTTGAAACTGAGTCAGTGGTACCTAAGAACAGCAACATAAAATTGAGAACATTGGGGCCAAGAGACCGCGTCCTCATTGTGGTCCCAGGACCAGCATGGTATTGATACTGTCTGGGAGCTGGTTTAGTGCTGGTATTGGGTGCCACAAAGTCAGTTCGGACTCAGCGACCCACAATGCTGTTTGGGCTGTAATCTTTACAGGGGCAAATCACCCCATACAACTGCTGACCGTTTGCTTAGCAGCCAGTGTTTAGCTGTTGCACTGGTATCTGCATCTGAAAGTGTGATACGCTCTGCTCTAAGCCATTACTCCTCTATTCGACAGTCTTTGATTAGAAGTCATGTGTGTCTTGTCTTTTCTTGGTTTTGTTTGAATCATGGGTGCATTGCTTCCTCCCATAGGAAACTATATTGCGGTGGGAAACATGACCCCCGTTATTGAAGTGTGGGACCTCGACATAGTGGACTCTTTAGAACCTGTCTTCACACTTGGAAGTAAGCTATCAAAAAAGAAGAATAAAAAAGGAAAGAAGGTAAATAACTTAATGCAAGTAGACATGGTGTCCTGGTGTGAGGCTATAGATCAGCACTGAACTGCTAACTGCAGGTTCATGGTTCAAAACCACCAGCTGCTACTTGAAAAACTTGTACAGGATACGTTTACAGGGTGAGGGAGGGGGTGGCAACAGCCTGCATTGTTCCAAGCGGACGGGATTGGAAAGGCAGTTATTAAGTTATTTTTACTTGCTAGTTTCCAAAAGCTAAGCCACAGGAAAATAGTTACTGATTACATAAAATTCTCATTAGTCCGTTACCCTTCCTTACACAAAACAAATTTCTCTCAGGCATGTTCCTCATTCATAAATGGTGGCTAATACTAGTGAAATAGAATTTAAATTTTTTTCTATTTAACTTTTAGTATTTTCAATTTGGAGTATCCATGTGTTCATTCCTATAGCTTTTGAAACCATTTTTATTAGGTTTGATGGGGCAGTGAAGTAAACAATGGATACTTTGTAGAATTACAGCACCTTTCGTTTCCTCCTTTGATCAGGGGCATCAAACTAACAGGGAGGCAGGGTGTTTCCTAAAGTATCAGTGATGTGATAGGGGATTTAAGACAAGAAGTAATGAAGGACAATTATTACAGGGTTCCTCAACAGGAGCACATACTGATGCTGTCCTTGACCTGTCCTGGAACAAGCTTATCAGGTAAAAAGAAATGTATTTGAAGGATTGTGGGAGAATGTAACCGTGGTGGCCTTACCTTGTGCCTGCACCTCTCGGTGTGCTCCAGGCCTGGGTAGCACTCCCTGAGGACAGGAGCTCTGCTTTCCTATCTTCCCATCTCCACCTGCTGCCTCCTGGGGTGGAGTTGTGATCGCTGTGTATTGAAGACCACGTGCCCTTCTCTCCACCTCCCCTGGGAGAAGGCCGGGGGACTGGGGCCAGGGGACTTGTGTTTCTTCACTGAAGACACGTATTTTTCTCTTTGTTTGGGTTTTGCTAACTGCCATCTCCCTATTCTTAACACTTTAGCAACAGTTACAGCAAAGACCACACCCTCTTTCCTCACTTACCGACTGCCTTGTTAGCCCACATTTACAATAGGAACATGATCACGTCGGACTCTTGAGAATTCGCAGCGTGCTGAGGGCGTTCCTGGAGTGGTAGCTTACCAAAGGATAGCTTGTGTTCTTGTTTGTGCTCAGACATCTTCAGAGCCACAATCATTTGGGTAAAAGGACCTAAGAAAACTGTCCAGGTTAGTGTTTCCTAAACCTAGTAGCCAAGCAGAACCTCTGAGTGAGGCTTTAAAGTACAAATGCTCCCTGCTCACAAGGTTGATTCAGTAGGTTAGGAACTGGTGCCCGAGAATGTGTTGAGCTTTGGTTTTGTTTCGTTTAAGCTTCTCCAGTGGTTATGATGCTGCCAATAAATTGGTCACTGCTACTAGATTTATCTGAATTGGCCTGGTCCTAATGAGCAGTTGAACAGAGTATCTAATATTGGGGGGATCAGCAGTGTTCACACCCACCAGTTGCGCCTTGGAAACCCTATACAGGGTCACTATCAGTTGGAACCAACTCGATGGCACTTAACAATAACAACAACATTATGTATTCGTTACATATCTAGTCGTTTTTATTTGGGAGTGCAGTGGCTCTATGGGGTAAGCTCTGGACTGTGAACAAGGTCAGTGGTTCGAGCCCAACAGCTGCTCCATGGAAGACAGATGAGGCTGTCTGCTCCCACAAAGATTTTTTTTAAAACCCTGAGAAAGCCTGTACAGGGTCGCTATGAAGTGGAGCTGACTTCATGACAACAACAGCTACTGAAAAGTTGTTCTAATGGAATAGCCCCTTACCAGTATGCCACCGGATTCCTCTATTTCTCTCCCCTTTATTGATTGGAGAGGTTTTTGTTATTGTGATTAGGTGCTATGGAGTTAGTTCTAACTCAACAATCCAGTTTACAGCAGAATTGTTGCTAAGTTTGAGTCCATTTTTGTAGCCACTGTAAAATACTTCCCAGTATGGCTTCTGCATGCTCGGGTGCAGAGTTCAGGATAATGTTGAGATAATAATACGTCATATGGAGCGCAATAACTCTCCATATGGTAATCACTGCACCGTAAACCACAAGGTCCACAGTTCAAGCCCGCCAGCCACTGCACGGGAGAAAGATGAGGCTTTCTGCTCCTGTGAAGTTTTAAAGCCTTGGAAACTCTAAACAGGGTTGCTGTGAATCAAAACTGACTCCACAGCACATAGCAACAATAACAGTATATTAACATTGTTATGAGTAAAGACTTTGATTTGTAGTAAAATGCACATAGTAACAAAACGCCTATTTTCTGCTGACATACTTGTCTCGGAGTATCATCAGTGGTGTAGTGTTCAGAAGGTGTTTTGTTTGCTAAGCCTCATATAAGGAGGCTTCAAAAAATGGGATTTAAAGATAATGGAATTCTTCCAAGAACTTTTTGAGGCTTGCTCATAGAATAAAAACCTTAAAAATGGAAGGAAATCTCAGTGAGATATTGTGGAATGACTTCAGTGGAAAACATACTGTGAAATTTTACCTTTTGCTGTTGCTGGACATTGACTACCTGTTGGCTGTTGGGAGTTTTAGGAGTTCTGTCGGCGTGGTACATGGGAGCTGTTCAGAGCTGGCAGCCACTCTGCGGGCGTTACAGGTGGCCATCTGCCTGTGAAGGTTGGCAGCCTTGGAAACCCTCTAGCACTTCTCTGCTCTGGATGGTGGCTGTGAGTCCGAATCGACTCAGTGTCACTGGGCTTTTTGGGTTGGGTTAGGAATTTAAATGAACATTTCATCTCTGAAATACACAGGACCTGCAAAATATTATACGACCTGTATGTACAACTTGATGTTAGAATCTTTGAAATGCATTAGGTAGCAACAACTAAACTTGATGTGAACAGATTTATGTCCAAGTTTTTATGTGGACGTTCTCATCTCTGCTAGTCACACACCTAGGAGTGGAATTGCTAGGTCACATGGTTGTGGTGAGACTCTACCTCAGGTACTTTAGACATGTCAGAGGGACCAGTCATTGGAGTCACGTTTGGCAGAGTAGAGGGTAAGCGAAAAAGAGGGAAGACCCCCCCCCCAATGACAAGGATTGACACAATGGCTGATAGCGGTTGTGCGGATGGCTGAATGCTGAGTCTGAAGCCACTGGATGGCACCTGACAACCACAGAGCCGCAGCTCAACCGTTTTCTGTTGTCGGCAGCAGTGCTGTGTCGGCCTGTCCTGTTGTTGGCCAGCTTTCACACAGCAGTGGCTGAGGGCTCCAGTCTCCCCCCTCTCATCAGCAGTCCTTACTACGGTCTTTTCAGGATAGCCATCTTATGGGTGCGAAGTGGTACCCCATTGTGCTTTTGAGTCTCATTGCCCTGATGACTAATAATGGAGTCCTGGTGTGGCCCTAAAAGATAACCGCTTGACGGCAAGCTCAGTGGTTCAAACCCCCCGGCGGCTCCTTGGAAACCCTATACAGGGTTGATATGAGTCAGAACCAGTTAACGGCACTTAACAACAACAAACAACAATAGTTAATGATACTGAACATCTTGTCATGCACTTATTACCTGTGTGGGTATCTTCTTTTGGGAAAGGTCGATTCAGAGTCTTTGCCCCATTTTTAAACTGGATTATTTCACTTTTTGTCATCAAGTTGTAAGAGTCCTTTAGATACACGTTCCCTGTCGGACGCATGATTTATGAATATTTTTTCGCAGACTGTGAGTTGTCTTTTTTACTTCCTTGATGACATCATTTGCAGCTCAAAAGCTTTTCCTGTTGCTGAGATCCACTTTCTATGTTTCTCTCATTGCTTGTCCTTGTGGTGCGTGCCTTAGCATTGTCTGCTGCAAGGATGTAAAGATTTACACTTGTGGGTTTCTTCCTAGCAGTTCTAGTTCTCAGTTTACATTTGTGATCCATTTTGAGATTTTGTGTTTTTGGGGGTTATATAGTGTGGAGTCCTGGTATGGTACTGTGGGTTAATGTGCCAGACTGCAAAGCCATTTGAACTGCAAGGTTGGCAGTTCAAGTTCACCAGCTGCTCCTTAGAAACCCTATACAGGGTCGCTATGGGTTGGAACTGACTCAACGGCACTTCACAACAATAGTGTGGTATGTAGAAGTACATAGGGGGTGTGTGGCAGTCCTAGTGTAGCACTGTGGGTTAATGTGCTAGACTGCAAGGTCAGTTTGAGCCTCACAGTCAGCGCTTCAAGCTCACCAGTCACTCCTGGGAAACTCTTTCCAGGGCCACCATGCGGCAGCACTGACTTGATAGCACATGACAACAGCCGCACCATAGTGTGGTGTCGCATCCTTTTGCATGAATCCCCGTCAACTCTGAGCCATTTGTTGACAAGACTGGTCTTTTCCCACTCAGCATTAGATGCTAGCTTTGTAGTTTAGAAACTGAGAAATGTCAGTTTCCTTACTTTACATTTGTTTGTTTTTCAGATTATTTTGGCCATTCTGGGGTCCCCAAATTTCCATATGAATCTCAGGAGCAGCGTACCAACTTGTGGGGCTCATTGATCATTCGTTAAATGGCACTGTCTCCACCTTACCAATATCAAGTCTTTCAATTCAGGAACATGGAGTTTCTTTCCAAAATACCTTTTGTAGTTTTCAGTACATAGATCTTGCAGTCCTTTGGATGCTATGTTCATATTAAATGGACTTTATTTCTTCCTTAGAATGCTCTTGATTTTTAAAAGGTTCCCTGCTGTTTCTTGTCTTTTTCAGAAATGTGCTGGCAAGTGCGTCCGCTGACAACACTGTGATTCTGTGGGATATGTCCTTGGGGAAGCCTGCAGCGAGCCTTGCTGTGCACAGAGACAAGGTGCAGTGAGTTCGTGCATGACAGAGATTCTAAAAAGTCTGAGACAGATACTGACTGAAAATAGCCCCAAACCTGGCCTTTTCTGGTTTACAAAGTGCTTGCTCAGGTTATTTTATTGGGTCTTCACCCAGCCTTATGTGTGCGATAAATAAGTACCGGCAATCCCCGGGGTACAAACAAGTTGTGCTCCTAAGTCTGTAAGTCCAATCTGTATGTAAGTTGGATCCATTAGATATAGGTTATACCTAACAGTCAAATGCTTGTCTTAGTGTGTAGTGAAACTTCTATGCATAAAAAACATTAAAGAAACTTTGCGGATACACTGAAACATATTTAACTTGGTAATACAGTAATAATAATGTTTTGATGTACATTGCAAAGCAGTGCACATTTGATGATGAACCATTGTGTGTACTTCGAATCTTGAATGTAATGAATAGATGTTTATAAGATTGGTCATAGCGATGGGATGTACAGATGTTGGACATTCCTGACCTAGGGAACCATCCATTTTAGAACTGCGAGAACGAGTGCAGGAAGGTGAAGTGACAAGAGCCTTACCTTGCCCTGTCACATGTTAGCAGAGGCTCCAGAAAAGGGATGATGTTTCTTCAAATGAGGAGAAAGTCCCAGAGGTTGCAGATCACATTGAAGATATCAGTGGTCTGCCAGACCCAGGTTAAGAAGTGATGCAGGAAGGAAATGTCTTTTATGTGCCAGCTTTTGTTGATTTGGGAGTAGGATTTGTCCTTTTATGGATAATGCGGGGCAGCTGTGTATGATTCTTTAAGTAATACTGAGTTTCAGAGGGAAAGATTTATGGAAATACCACAACAGTCATGCTAGGCAAACGTTCTTTCAAACACTGCTTTCATCTGTGTTTCCTTCTTTAGGTCCAGACTCTGCAGTTTCATCCATTTGAAGCACAGACCCTGATTTCCGGATCATACGATAAGTAATAAAGCACCCCATGGGTTATGACTGTTTCTTTTACCCCCTTGAACTAAACCAGAATGTGTTGTTGATACCTGGACTGACTATTCCCGAGGTGTGCCCACGGGGTCTGCACAGGAGTGAGCCTGTTATAATACTGCAACTACAGGAAGTAGCGGCTGCTTTATAGGAGCCCAGTGGTGGAGTAGCTTCAGCATTGGGCTGATAACTGAGAGGTTGGCAGGATGAACCCATCAGCGGTTCTGTGGGAGAAAGCTGAGGGCGTCTGCAGCCTTGGAATCCCTGTGGGGCCCTTCTGCTCTGTCCTGTAGGGTCGTTAGGCGTTGGAACTGACTGGACAGCAGTAGACAGGAGCAGCTCCTCAGTGTTCTAAAGGCTGCGTAAGTTAGTGTTTGTGAGGCACAGAGCACTCCCGGATGCAGTGGCTTACACTAATACACACTGATGACTCATGGCTCTGTGAGGGTCCACAACTTGAGGCTGGAGTCAGCTAGGGCTCTGTTCATCTTGGCTTGCCTGGCCTGAGCCTCCTGGGAGCAGTGGGCCAGCCCACACTTGTTCTCCTCAGGGCAAGGGCAGAAGCCCCAGCAGGCCTGGCTCAGCACTAGTACCCCTCTGCCCTGTTCTCTTGGCCAAAACATTGGAGAAATAAACTCCATTCCATGTGGCACATGAGTCCCATTTATCCACATGACACAGTGTCAGGTAGGACGAGGTGAAGAGCAGGGACCACTAGAGCTGTCAATCAGTGGCTTCCCATCGCCCATCTGTGTACAGATTGGGGCTGTAGATGGGAAAGAGCCAATGGAAGCCAAAACCAATGTAGTCTTACTTTGATTCCCTGTCCTTTAAAGACACATATGTGGGAAGTGTCCCTCAGTCCTTCCCACACCATCCACAGTCACACACGGGGTACAGGTGATCCAGAAAAGAGTTACCTACTCTGAGCACCACCTGGGAAGAGGTGTTAGAGGCTGTCCTCGGCTGCTTCTCTGTGGAGGGGCCGCCACTTTGTGAAACTTAGCTCGCTTCTTCTCCTTTATTTCAGAACCTTAAGGCAGGCTTTATAAAGAATTGAGTGTTGACTTCACAGTATTGTTTTAATATGTTAGTTTCATCGACAAACTTTCTAGGCGGCTCGGGCTCTGAAATCGTAACTCTGCCTGCCTGTGTCCAGGTCTGTGGCTCTGTACGACTGCCGAAGTCCAGACGAAAACCACCGGATGTGGCGGTTCAGTGGACAGATTGAGAGAGTGACGTGGAATCACTTTTCCCCATGCCATTTTTTGGTAAGCGTGGGCATGTTAGTGTTTTGCCTCCCAGGTTACTAACAAGCTGTTCTCCTTTATTCCATCATAGAATAGCTTTCTCTCTAGTAACTGTGTACCATGATTGGATTGGTTCATATTAAGCATGCTTTGTTTTTTATGGCTAAATTGGGCTAAGAGATACTTCCCTCTTCAGTGGAGCTTTAGAGATGAAAATGCTCGCCTATTTAATGTCTCACAGGCAGGAGAAAGGCTTCCTATGTGTGGGAGGACTGTTTTCCAAGTAGCATCCCAGAGATCCCACTGACATTTCAGTTCATGAAGAAATAAAATTCCAGCTTTACTCCAGAAGGAAAGAGTAGAGAGAGCCTGCGATACAACCGTATGGCTCCTGTGCTGCTTTGTAAGGGAGAGGAGGGAGGATTTTTAGAAGCGGCTTTCTTCAAAGGTGTGGCCAGGTTCCTGGACTTTGTCTGTCCATAGCCGCAGCTAGTTAGGGAACTAGGAAGTGTTCGGTACAGAGCTGTTCACCTCCTTTCCTTTAGTCTCACAGGACGAGGGCCCCCCCTTGTCTGATTTCCTCTCCCCAGCCCAACCTCTTCACCTGTCCTCCCTCCCTCTCGTCCTTAGGGGCTGTTGCCCTTGCTGTGCACAGACCTGGCTCTCCTGACTCCATCCTTGAGGGTTATCCCTTCCTTCATTTCCTCTCCCATGCTTGAAAGTGTAACTACCCACTGTGTTCTGCCTCCTGCTGTTCCCTCCTGCTGCCTGAAGTTCCTTAGCTTCCCGGCATGCTCCCTTCTTCCCCTCCCCCCAACACCTGGGCACCTCCTCAGCCTGTGTCCCAGCTTGCTGTGCTCTGCTGGCCAGGCCTTTGTCCTCACCCCACCCCCCACAGGCAAAGGCCACGCGCACTGTGTCAGACTGTTTACCCAGCGCTGGGGGTGTAGTGTGACCTTACCCACCACCTCTCGTTCCAGGCTAGCACAGATGATGGCTTTGTCTACAATCTGGATGCACGCTCAGATAAGCCTATTTTCACACTAAATGCACACAATGATGAAATCTCTGGTGAGTGAGATTGCATTTCTTCATTCCTGTTACCTTAGAATACAGAAACGTACATTTCAAAGTGGCGGGCTCCAAACTGTTAACGTTTTATCATCCATCCAGGTCTTGCCCTAAGCAGTCAGATCAAGGGTTGCCTTGTGACTTCTTCAGCTGACAAATATGTGAAGATATGGGACATACTCGGGGACAGGCCCAGCCTTGTCCACTCCAGGGACATGAAAATGGTAAGGGTTTGCCTGGGCTCCTTGTCTTCTGTCTCTGACCTGCACTTCGTGTCTTTCTCAAGGAATTATTTATAGAATCTGAATTTGTTGGAAAAGCTCATTCTGACCTCAGTTGAATTTGTTGGGGCTTTTATGTCTTTTTTAATACTTATAACAGTTTTTCGGGGAAAATCAATGACTCGACGGCACTTAACAACAACAACAACTGGTTCATTTTGCAACTACTGTGATTAACAGTTGCTTGGTGTTAAGCCTAAGGAAGATGGCAGAGGGGTTTCTAGGTCATGATGTTGTTGTTGTTGTTGTTAGGTGCCATCGAGTCAGTGCCTACCCATAGGGACCTTATGCACAGCAGAATGAAACACTGCCCGATCCTAGGCCAACCTCACTATTGTTGCCACACTTGAGTCCATCGATGCTGCCTCTTGGCCAATTCATCTCGTTGGGGGTCTTCCTCTTTTCCTTTGACCCTCCACTTTACCAAACTTGATGTCCTTCTCCAGCGACTGGTCCCTCCTGACAATATGTCCGAAGTGTGAGAGACAAAGTTTGGCCATCTTGGCCTCTAAGGAGCACTCTGGCTGCACTTCCAAAATGGATCTGTTGGTTATTTGGGCAGCCCATGGTACTTTCAGTATTCTTGTCCAACACCATAACTCAAAAAATCAGACCCATCCTTAGAAGTAGAATCCTTTCGGACAGCATAACTAGTGGGAGCACAGTTGTGAGGACATTGAAATGGAGCACTACAGAACAGCAGGACAGTTGGAAACAAGCTGACTTCATTCAGTGAGTAGTTACTGAGAACCTAGTGTGTGCCAGGCCTTCTTCCAGGCAGTTGAACACGAGGGATTAGTTACTACAAAGTAAAATATGTGTGCAGTGGTTAAGAATTGTATTTATGGAAAGGGAGGTTATAGAAGCAATTATCCATGCTTGGTTTTATGTGTGAAAAGCTAAGATTATATTCCAAAATAATATTGTCAAGTTGGTGTGAACCAGTAATCTTGCAGTTAGAGGTCCTATGTCACCACACCAGACTCCAAACATCAATTGTTGTCGTCGTTACGTGCCATTGAGTCACTTCCCACTCATAGTGACCCAGTAGAGGGTTTCTGAGGAGTGGTTGGTAGGTTTGAACTGCCGACCTTGTGGTTAGCAGTCCAGTACTGATCCCACACCACCACTCCAGGACTCTGATGCTCATTAGTGTCTTAGTACTTGGAACTGCAGTGTCGTCCCAGACAATTCAGTTCTCGCTACAAAAGGTCACTAGTAATGATTTTTCAAAACTTTAAGTTTCTTTAAAAAAAATTGTTTTTACACTTTTATTACTCATATGCTTGTGAAAGCTGGGCAATGAATAAGGAAGACCGCAGAATTGATGCTTTTGAGTTATGGTGTTGGAAGAGAATATTGAAAGTGCCATGTGCTGCCAAAAGAACCAATAAATCCATTTTGGAAGAAGTGCAGCCAGAGTGCTCCTTGGAGGCCAAGATGGCCAAACTTCATCTCTCATACTTCAGACATATTGTCAGGAGGGATCAGTCACTGGAGAAGGATATCATGTTTGGTAAGGTGGAGGGTCACAGGAAAAGAGGAAGACCCCCAGCAAGATGTATTGGTAAAATGGCAGCATCAATGGGCTCAAGCGTGGCAACAATAGTGAGGTTGACCCAGGATCAGGCAGTGTTTCGTTCTGCTGTGCATAAGGTCGCTATGAGTCGGCACTGACTTGATGGCACCTAACAACAACACATATTGTTGAGTGCTGGTGAGTCGATTCAGACTGAAAGCCTCCTAGGGCTCCCTCGGCTGTCATCTTTATGAGATTGCCAAGCCGCTTTACCAAAGAGCCGTCATCCTTTGGTTAAGCAGGCCGTCACATGCTATTGCACCACCAGGGTTCCTACGATGTAATGTGTCTGTATTATAGGAAATACAAGCCAGAAAACATAAAAAAATTACTGAAAAGTAACTGGTGTGGGCTGCTAACTACAGGTTTGGCAGCTGAAACCCACTGGTCACTCCTTAGAAAGCCTGTATGGGTCACTATGAGTTGGAACTGACTCAACAGCCCTTAACACAATGAAGTTCTGAAACCTAAGAAATCATAGGTCCACACAGAATGGCCGTTGTGGCTGAACCCATATTGCTCTGTGATTACAGTAACGTCCCATCTGAGTCCACTGAGCTGGCTTTGCTGCAGGGTGGAGTGGACTGATAGGCAAGCTTAGGTGGTCGGTCATCCACTGGAGGGGGGCTCTAGGCACTCGGCTTCCCTGGAAAACGCACTCACTGGCTTTGTGCTCTCGTCCCCTCAGGGTGTTCTCTTCTGTTGTTCTTGTTGCCCTGATCTGCCATTTGTTTATGCCTTTGGAGGACAGAAGGAAGGGCTCCGGGTCTGGGACATAAGCACAGTGCCTTCAGGTAAGAGTCCTCCTCAGTTCCAGGAGGGCCAGGAGCAAACAGCGGCACAGGCCATCGGGAACTGTTCGTGTTCATAATAAAGAGCTGGTCTTTACACTAGTTCTTTTGTAAAAATACTTGGAACAAACTTTGCGTCTTAAAATGGAAGGGAGCATGGTCTCCAAGAACAACCCTCCCCTTCCCAGTTTCCATTGTAAAGAGTCTCTGTGATATTTAAATATATTTGAAGATGGGGTTTCTTTTCTCCCTTCCAACAATCTGAAAGGTCCTAAGTCCAGAAAGGTCATGCCACAGAGAAAGGTGAGAGAAAATGGGAACCAGTAGCGGAATAAGGGAAAGGCTAGAGTCACTGGTATGCGGGCAGGACATCTGTCACGAAGAGGACCAGGCAGAGCACGTGAAGTACACAGTCTTATAAACATGGTTAGCTTCATTCAGAGTATTAACTTGGGCTTCTGAATTAGTTATGTATTGTCTCATTTGTAAAGTGTTATATATATTTTCATAAGCAAAAGTCCCACCCCAGGGTAGAGAATCATTGCTCATTTGTATACGTTGGTACCTTTTTATACTATAGACTTGTAATGTCCTGATCTGGTAGTTTCTGAACTATTAATTTGTATTTTAGTAAATGAAGCTTTTGGACGACGGGAGAGGCTTGTTCTTGGCAGTGGGAGAAGTTCATCTGTCAGCGGCCCTTTGGGGAGCAGTAGCTCAGACACCCCAATGGAGTCCTGATGAAGAAAGTGTTGTTTCCTGACTTGTAAAGATTTCCCCTGTGTTCCTACCGCACTGCAGCCACTGTGAGATGAACCGTCATCCTCTGCAGGGACCCAGCCGGCGGACACACGAGCTGGTCTTCGTGTGCGGTGTGCAGGCCTTCCTTGGTTTTAAGCAGTAATCCTTTAAGTAGGCCCTCTGTTGCAGGTTGTCTAGGCTTGTCAAACACAAGCAGTTTTTTACCATTTGAAAAGACGAGCCTTCTCATCTTACAGATTGGTGATGAAACTCAAAGTGATGGTCCTTTCTTGTGTGGAGCAGCATGCTCTTCCTTCAGTCCCCGGTACTGGCTGTCTCCTCTGTGCCTTGTGCTCAGACAGGTGATTCCTCAAGTGGGAAGAAGTCTCTGCTCGTGGCCCAGTGGGGAAACCCCAAGTCTAGAATCAATCTTGGAATCAGCGTGAATTTTAGCAGGCAACAGGCATTCCTTTAGTCACTGAGAACAAACCCCAACTTGTTACGTGGACAGATCAGACCCAGAGGGGCTGAGAGAGGAACAAGATGCAGCGTCATGTCCCTCCCTGGCAGTGTAGTTAGTGACGGGCTTTCACTGTAGCACTTGGAAAGGCTATGGGTTCATTACATCTGCCAAAGTGAAACACTGGTCATAACTTTTTCAAAATTTCTACCAGGTGTAGGTTAACTTCAGCCAATTATTATTCAAATCCATGGAGACCCATTGTTCTGTAAAACAGAATGTCAATTTACATGGGTAGGTTAGGGAACATTATACAGTTGTAACATTACCTCAGTTTTTCAAGACAACTACATGGAGTAAAGTTCTTTTCAATAAATGTGATGTGTTAAATGCCTTTTTTTTTCTTTTCTTTTCAAACTAGTAGAAGAGGGAGGGAGAAAAAAAATACTATAAGAATAGCCATCCAGAAATTCACTTTTGAAAACATTCACACTGAGCTTCCAACTCTTGTGATGATGGGTACACTTGTATTGCGGTCACTGGAGAGCGTGGGGGCAGCCTGGACAAAGGTCCCGGAAGGCAGATACTGAGAAGTGACCTTAACACCGGTGGATTCCTACTCGGCCACCGGCCAACAGTCTGATGGTTCTGGCAAAACCCAACTGAACTTGAGGATTACACACCTGCCACCTAGAAGTGGGATGACTAGCGCCACCTTTATACCCAGCATTGCACAGGCTCTGTGCTCAACTGGATCGAGGGGTCCCTGCTCCAGCTGCAGTAGTGCCTTAATGTGTTGGGCTGCTAACTGCAAGGTCAGCGTTTCGAATCCACCAGCCGCTCCAGGGAGGGAAAGCTTGACAGCCTCAGAACTCTGTACCAGTTTCACTGAGTCAGGACCAACGAGGCACACAACCACCACCTGCTCCCACTATTCGCCAGAAGACAGGCAAATTCTCTATAGAAAAGACTTATTTCACCCACTGCTTCCACAGTTTGTCATACATGACCATTTCATCAGCAATTATTAAGAAACACTAAGAAAAGGGCCATTAAAATAGGCCCACAAGGAATTCACATATCTGGCTTATATTTTAAAAACATGGGCTTTTAAAACAGCAAGGAAAGTGAAATTGGAGAACTGGAAACTATCAAATAAGAATTCTCAAGGTGAAAGACTAAATAGCTGAAACAGAAATTTATGTATAGAATTGATGGTTAGACAAAGCTGAAGATTAGTGAACTTGGAGATAGATGAATAGAAAATGTCCACACTAAAGTATAAAATAAGAAAGGTGATAAATGTCCATCTATGTATGTGTGTGGGTGGTGGTGTGCCGTGGAGTTGGTCTGATTCATAGTGACCCTGCCATAGGGTTTTCAAGGCTGTAAACCGTTATAGAAGCAGAAAACCTCATCTTTCTCCTGCAGAGTGGTTGGTAGTCCGACTTGTAACCACTAAGTTACCAAAGCTCCTCAAAGTCAGCAGTTACAAAACTACCAAGAGAAATGGAAACATGTTCACAAAGACTTGAACACAAATAGAACATCCAAAAGGCGGAAACAATCGTGTATTGATGCTGAACACCAACTACCCAGAACTCCGTTAAATACACAGACTGCCCTCACTTCACACAGCAGCTGCAAACTTGAAGGCCTGCAGGCAGGCCACCGTCACATCTGACCAACTGGATGCAAATTTAGGAGTTCCCACTACCTCCCAGGCTCAAACACCTCAAAACTCAGGAACGCACTATCCAAACAGTCAAAGGCTACCTACCAGTCAGAACCAGCCAGAGAGAGGTTAAAATCTGGGAGAGTTCTAAATGCACGACGACTCTACCCTCTCCCTGCTGAGCCAGGACATGTCACCCTCTGACCCCACAAATGGGTGACAACATGCAGAATGCTGCAACTAGGGAAGCTGGCTGATGGTGGTGATCTAAATGGGGCTTTTTCCATAAGCATGACTGCATGAATCACCCACGTGATACAGCTCAATTGTTTGCTGTCTCCTCTCCCTGGAGGTTGCCAGTGTCCCTCTACATACACTGTTGGTCTTTTCGCTAAGACTATAGTGGCTGGAGTCCTGCTGTGGTGCTGTAGGATAAACACTGAACCGCAAACTGCAAAACTGCCAGTTCAAAACCCCCAACCACTGTGGAAAACCTACACAGGGTCACTAGGAGTTAGAACTGAACCGCAGACTGCAAAACTGCCAGTTCAATCCCCCCAACCACTGTGGAAAACCACAGGGTCACTAGGAG